GGTCAAATTGAAATCTGTGGAAAACCTTAAGTTTATGTAGGGGTAAATGTAGTACAGAATTTTAGTTAAAGTGTAAATTCATAGTAGATAGGGGCATATAAACGTTGACAAATGCCGCACAGCCCTGTATTTTGACCTTAAATAGTAGTGCATATGAACTTTCCATTCTAGGATTTTTTTTTGTTTTTAAACTTCATAGTAAAATTAGTACAGTTTTAGCTGTAAAAGGAGTTCATTTGGCCAATTGCATTGTGGATATTCACAGAAATGCAACCTATAGCTGGCCTGTTATAGAAAGACAATTGATTTTGTGTCTGGAGATATTTGGTGTTCTGTTAGGACTAAAATTTCTTTCGCATATGTTGCTGAGCCGGATTATGTATTTGTGGGCCTCTTTGAACCCTTTGCCTTTACAAAATGAGAATTATCGACCTTTTGCTATTTTTTTTCGATGTTTTGTCTACATTCTGCGATAAGAATATAGAATATACATTAACTTATCAATTATCAATCTCTAATTACAGATGATACGCATTTTAGTCTAATAATTTGAATTTAACATGTTAAGCTTGCATCAATAAGCGTCCGTCTTCCATCATACATCGTAGTAATTTCTTAATATATCTTTTTTTGAAATAACACTACATTTTACCTGAACGTTTAAGGGAAAGTTTTTTAAAATTTCATATTGGAACTTGGTAGACGTTGTTCCGGGAAAGTCCGGGAATGTATGATCTCCCTATATTAAAATTGCTAAAGTTCACAAATAATTGTATTGATTTACTGGTCTTAAGGTTTTTAATATGGATAGGAAAATAGGGCATGACATAAACATTGTAGTAGTATTTTTAATGGAGTATATAATCAAATGTAAAGGGGCAATAGCTACGAGATATATAAAAATGTAAAATATGATTTGTGTTTGTTCAATCAATAATGAAAGTAAAAAAGTGAAAACGTTTTTATGTAAATTTGTTTGTTAGAATAAGCTTAGCAATTTTGATGATGAATTATTCACTTGCATGTGAATAAATCGACCTCATTGAATCCGTATTCATGTGAACCTCAATTAAACCCCTTAGCTAGAGATGGATAACGCATGCATTGTGCGTGTTCGGTTATTTAAAGGAAAAGAATGTCAACAGTGAAAGTGAAACAAAGGTTAATCATTTGATTGACTGATTTGATTCACAAAAATCATTCTTATACAGGTAAAAACGACGATTAACATGTATTTCTAATCTTAAATATGAAATTAAACAGGCCTAGAAAAATCCAATTGAATGAGTTTCGCTTTCTATTTATATCTATATTCAGTTTATATCGCTTATATGACCATCGGAGGTTTCCGGAGGTCAACTCGATAGTTAATTAGATGGCGTCAAGACTAAAACACACACGAAACGAAGCTACATATTATCGAGCCCATGCCCTGTAAATTGTTTATTATGGACTTTTTTATAATTTGGATAAATGTTTTACATGGTTATAAATCAGAAATCAGAATATGATTCAAATCGTTGAACACGAATTTGACAGCTAGTGCCCCTTTAAGTCTTTAACAAAAAAAAAACAAAAACAAAAACCATAAGAGATTATTTCTTTTTACTATGTATAGGTATTTCGATTCATAGTATACTTTTAATTTTTTAATTGCATATATATTGTGTAGTTGTGTTTGTTGCTCAGTATTATGATGATTGACATGCAAATCTGATCGGAGACGTTGTTTATTTGGAATAAACTTTGCAATAATTTTCTGTGCTGTTCCCGGAATTCCCATAATTGCTATGATACTCATATTTTGTATACTTGCAATATGTAGGACCATGATACATTGATCACACAATGATACGGAAGGAGTAGAAAATCCAGTCAACAACAAATAGAACACAGGCAATTATATAAGTGATATAGTTACGATACTGTTGTCAGGTCATTAAAGATGACATATTTTGGTAATAATATTGATTCACTCATAGGGTCTTTGCATCGGAAATAAACACATTTATTCTAAAACCAGTTGTTGGCATGATACGGGTTATGTTCTTCTCATATTTTTTTATGATGGTATGATACTAAACCCCAAAGAGGGATTGTGCTTGATTTTCATATGATGAAGACATAATATGTCAATAACATTACTTGATATCTGGAGCTGGCATGTCAGTAACTGCTAGTAGTCCTTTGTTAATTTATGTATCATTGTCATTTTGATTAGTTTCTTTTGTTACCTATTCTGACATCGGACACGGACTTCTTTTAAACTGAGGTTTACTGTGCACATTGCTGTGTGTTTGTTTATTCGACATTGGCTAGATGTATAGTGGGAGGGTTGATATCTCACAAAACATGTTTAACCCCACCGCATTTTTACGCCTGTCCTAAGTCAGGAGTCTCTGGCCTGTGTAAGTCTTGTAGGTTTTTTTAATTTTAGTTCATTCATATGTTTGGAGTTTAGTGTAACGTCCATTTTTATTGAAGTAGTACACATTTTTGTTAAGGTACCAGCTGAAGCCCGCCTCCGGGTGCGGGATTTTCTCGCTGTGTTGAAGACCCATTGGTGGCCTTCAGTTGTGTTCTGCTCTTTGGTCGGATTTTGTCTCTTTGACACATTCTCAATTTCCATTCTCAATTTTAATTATTTGTGTTGCAATAAAGTTTGTTTAACAATTTATTCTAGGATATTAGATGTAAAAAAAAATCTTATTATCCTCATGTTAAGTGACCAATTGACAATGTACACTCTCAAATAAGGTTCTTTGCACTACTATAATTATGTTTATTTCATATCGGTTAAGAATTAGCTTCTTTTATTGGATCACAAGGGGCCACATGACATTCTTTATTCTTTAGTAAAAAATTCCATCGGTCTTTAACAGAAAAAAAGAGAACCAGAAGACCGGTTGTTAACGGACTTTCACATGTAAATGACCAATGGGGCGTGGTTTCTCTGTTTAGAGTGATGTCCTTTTAATAAAACGCAATCGCGACTCGTTAATTATAAAATTATAGAAAACTTTATTTTGTATTCATTAACTGAAAAATTGCACTTAAATGAATGGCAGTGATTTATAGTTATCATTATGACTGGTCTACACCTATTCCTATAGAAGTCGTACAATAAATCGAGTTTGATTTTAACAATTTGAATTTATGAAAAAATTTTAAAACATGGTTCCTCAATGAAATAAACATAATAGTTATTGAAGAAATGGTCATAATCGTGATACATGGACTGCCCGTAGGACAGTGGTATTGACTGCGACATCGATAATGACCTCGCCTACGGCTCAGTCATTATCGCTGTCTTAGTCAATACCACTGTCCTGTGGGCAGTTCATATATCACAATAATGACCAGTTCTTCAATAACTATTATATAAATATTTAAGGAACAATTTTCATACCTTTGTCATTATCGAAAACATTACACTACATTCGATGTAATACTAAAACCATATTTGTATTTTCCATTGATAACGTATTGAATAATTTATATGACCACAACAGGTACTAGCATGTGTATATCTAACCATTACTAAGGTACGCATATTTTTTTATTCAAATTTGCTGTTATAGAATAGAGTTCCTAGTATGGACAGTGTATAACTTGCAAATTTTTTCATACATTTTCCAAATTTATTTCTTTTTATCTTATGCATAAAAAAGTAAGTAGGGGGTGAAATTACATGTAAAAAAACTTGGGGTATGAATTTTTAGGTAAATTAATGATTTGGTCTAGTTTTAAAAGGTCAAAAATTAGTATGTCTGAAGCTGTCAAACTGAATTACAGACCCCCTTACTTTTAACATAAAATTATCCATATTTTGAGTTAGAGCCGATAGACTTGTCTATAATTTTGATATAATTTGTCCAAAAAGTAGAACAGTACACTGTAAAAAAAAATTTTGGAGAGAGCAGGTGCGTTTTTTATTTGCGTTTTCAGTCTAAAAAAAAATGCACTTCGAAATAACTGTGTTCTCGGGCCATATGAAATTTATCAACTTTTTTTTATTGTCTTTTTGAAAATCCATCCCGAAGACATTTTTGGATCGGAAAATGTTTTGATCTGTACAATACAATTATGTTTATCCTGCAATTGGGTGTCTTATCATACATTAACAGCCCAACATACATCGCTAGCCTGTATTTGTATACTATACATATATCGCTTTAAAGCTCAGCCCACTGCCGGACTATCTTTGTTTATTGCTGTTGACGAGTGTTGTATAAACCTTCGTGACCTCAGAATATGTATTGCAATCGCATTCCAATTCCAATGACGTATTTCTCCGTCTGTAAATGTTCCAGTCTCCGATCCGCACCCCACTTTCCGCTCATAGACAAACATAAACAGCAGGATTAACTCCAATTTCTACGGCTCTAATTTTCAAGGTCAACACTTGAAAGTGTAAATCACAAAATCAACCATGCAACAATGTCAATAATCAGTGAATGCATGGACAGTTCGAAATTCAGAAGCGAAGAACATATCAAACACTTTTGTCTTAAATCGGACAATGTTTTGTTATTTCTTTTTACTGTTGAAATTAGTTGTTATGTTATAATACATAATTATTAACTTTGAGCGAAATATTATTGATGCACATGCGAGATTCTTTTCGGCGTACCGATCATCAGCTGATTGTGTGATGTGTTTTGTTAATATTACCAGAGATATATGTATATATGTCTGTGATATTACAACGCGGGCCTCAAAGGAGGCCTTTATATCGAAAATAAATGCAATATATGTGAGTTTTTCTGTCTTTCAGAGCAAAAACAATGTATAAAATCCATTGCAGGATAAAGACAATAACTTTTCAGTGTCTTTAGATATTAACTGTATTTGTATTCGGCTTGAAACAGGAGTAATATATATATATATATATTATATATGCATAACATAATAATGGACACGATCTACATTATAACCTTGTCATTTAAATTTACGTACTACATCGTTCTAAATTATGACCTTTACCGATTATTAAACAACAATGTTTGCATTTTATGTCATTTATGGATACATGTTTCATCTAGCGTATTATGAAAATGACTTGGATTAACGTATTTGTATTTCTATCAGCCATCGTGCTTGTTTTATTGAATACTGTAACGAAAGGACAATTACCAAAGGATGAAGAGTGTGCAGATATACCGGCTGTAGAAAAGTTTGACTGGCACAAGGTATGGGATTTTATAAAATATTGGAAAGGATGCGTTACAAAAATAAATAGTTGTTAACATGCACTTGTCTTGTTTAATATATATGTATACTATAGATTGAGCTTTTTCTCATAATTGAATTATTCTTTGTGTAATTTAAGAAAGGTGTTAAAGCATTGAGCGACAAAAAAAAAATTCTTATTATTTTTTAAATTTAAAAAATTAGTTTTTTTTTATTGAGACAAAAGCATAGAAATATGGTTTCCTTTACGTTCACTGGGCATCAGTAAGATCATCAAGATACTGGCTTGGTTGAGCAGGATATTATGTAACAATATCTGACAAAAACAGAAAATTATTGTTAATGAAAAAGTGGAAGTTGACAGCTGACAGTGACTAAGCTGAAGAAATAAAAGATGATACTGCATGTTACCTGGACCATATAGAATGCAAAATGAAAATGCCACTTATCATATGCACGTTTCAGCAATTAGTGTCTCATCAGAAGCATAATTCTTGATGAGACACTTCTAGGTGGATACAGGGGTGAAAAGGGCGTATGCCTCTTTTTTTTGTTGTTGATCGAAACACTTTTTTGCAAATCTCCTGAGTCTTGTTGGTACGCTTGGTCATGTTTTTTTAACCTTATAGACACTTCAACCTTATGTTTCCTTGGACTATCGATCCATCCCTTTAAATAGTGGAAACCCAAATCAGTCAAACTTTTCACAGAGGATAACAAATACAAATGTAAGAATAGGTAAAGCCATGTAGGCAGTCTTATGGGAGCAATTTTTTGATTATCTTCGCCGATAGGCAAACATATTGGAAAAAAGGAGCTAGTATAAGAACATTTTCTTTTCTGTGTTTAATTTACGACTTGTGGTACAAATCCAAAGACCACCCAATGCAACTGAATCTAAAGGTTGCTTCCTTGAAGCAATAATAAACGAGTATGATTCGAAATAGAAGGTTAAATCTGATACTTTGCGTTGGTAAAATGCCAAATTATGTGCACGTACGTTTAGAACCCTTGAAACATCTTCCTCGTGTACCTTTTCATAAAGGGATCCGGCATATCAAACAAATTTATCCAACAGTCACTATATGTTTATATTTTTATTTTATATGGCCGTCCAAAGAGGTTTGCTTTTTTTTCAAAGTTCCAACAATATTTACTGCAGTTTAGTGTCCTTCGAGTGTGTGAAATAACATTGAACTTCTGATCATAACATAACAATTGCATAAGGATTCTTAAATCTAAATTTAATAGGTGAAATTTGAAGTATTTATTATTTATTCAAAACTGAATTAGATACTACGTATATACTTTAAGAATTCTTAAAACAAAAACTAAACACCAAAATGTGACAGGAAGTCAATATATGTATTACATTCATATTCAACTTAAACTAATTTTGTCGTAACTGACTTCAATACAAAATGCAAAGAAAAAAGGCAAACAAACCTTGCACAGTTTAAATTAAAATTGTCTTTAACTGCAGTGTATAAATCGGGATAATATTTTGAAGAACAAATTTAAAAAATCATTTCTTAATAAGTGCACTTGCAATTTTTTTTATTCTTAATTTAAATTATTTTCTCTCTATATATAATGTATCAGTCACCGCTGTGGATAGTATACTTGAAATAAATAGTAAATATCAAATACAAGTTATTTTTAGTATATTTCTGTTCATATAATACAGAAAAACGCGAAAAATAATTCAAATTAATAGAAAACAAAAAATACGAGATTTTGAAAACAAGAGGGACGGCTAACAAAAATTGCGTAAACAGCGTAAACAATATTAATGATTAAATCAAAAAACATCGTGTAAAACATATATACACCTAAAAAATTTGATTCTTTGGACAATAAAAGCAACTAGTGCTTGTTATAATTTTTTGTCTAACAAAATACAAAACCTACTTAACTAAAAAATTCAGGGAAATCAACTAATTCCTACAGTCGTGTAGTACTCCGATAGCCACTTTCGGTTGCCTTCGAATAAAATATTTCATGATCGCAAATACTCAAGATTATCTAAAACTTTTTGTAACACCCCCGTCCTTTAAAAAAGTTGAATAAAATAAATCTGCTACAAATATGAGTTTTTAAAAGAAATGTAGAAAATTGTCAAAAAGAAATCTTCAAAAGTTGTTTCGATGATAATCTTTAAACGCCATGTAAAATCGTTTCAGATTGCTGGTAAATGGTTTATTCAAGAAAGATTTGGTGATGCATCTCATATATCATGTCCCGAACTGCAGATAGACCCAGTAAAAGAGGAAGATGGAACACTAGATGTATACATTGGATATCTTAACAAAACGTAATTAGCTTTGTATACATTGATTTGAGTTGTATTGGTGTCGGCTGCTGTCTTGAATGACTGCATTTCTGATTATTAAAAGAGGAAGATTAATAAGACATATGGGCCCTATATTTTTTCAACAAAGTTAAAGAGGTTTTCTATAGCATATAGCAAAGTGAACCAACAAACCTAGGAAGGAAAATGACTTAATATTTACTTGTTTAATCAATATTACTTTATTGTTTATTGTCAATTGGCCGACTTTTAAAAATCATTAAATTTTAAAAGCAAACGTTAAGACTTAGTAAGGCCAATTATGACCCATACTCCTATCCACTGCACGAAATTGACTTTGCTATTTGGTAATTAATATGCGAAATGCTTTTGAGTAAGACATGAATTTGTTGTATTTTTTAGTCCCCTACCGACGAAGTCGAAGGGGACTTTAGGTTTGCACTCCGTCAGTCTGTCTGTCTGTCTGTCTGTCTGTCTGTCTGATTGTATGTATGTCTGTCTGTCTGTTTGTCCATCCGTCAGTCCGGCAAATCAGTTTTCCACACTTTTTTTCTTCATTCTTATAGATATTGATTTGATACTTGGTGTATTGTTTTAACAAGACATGTTACAGATCAATTTCGAATTTTGTTCCGGTCAGATGATTTTTTGCAGAGCTATGGTCCTTTGACTTAGAAAATTCACTAAAATAATCAGTTTTCCGCACTTTTTTTTTGTCATTCTTGAAGATATTGATTTAGAAATTGGTATATAGTTTATCATGACAAGCTACAGATCAAGTTTGAATTTGTTCTGGTCTGATGATTTTGTGCAGAGTTATGGTCCTTGGACTTACAAAATTCACTTAAATAAGATATTGACTTGATATTTGTTATATAGTTTACACCATGACAAGTTATAGATCAAGTTAGATTTTGTTCAAATACAATGATTTTTTAACAGGCAGTGGACTATGTATTGCCATGCATTACTCACAGAATGCTTGTTTATGTTACAATCATACATTTTTTTCAGAAATTGTTTATTTGTATATAATCGCCATTGTTATGGGCATTTTGATGGAAGTATTTTATGCGGACGCGAAAAATAATCAACATAATTATCGGGGTAGGAAAGAAGTTTAAAATTACTTACATTTTGTATCGCTATGTGAAATTATAAGTTATACGTTTTTTTAAACAGGTCCATAGAGTTTAATAATCATTTTTATGGAGTATATTCACCCATTTCAACTGATTTAGGAAGAGGAGTTTTTGAAGCAGTAAGTGGACCTACCAAAGGTCTATACCGTAAGTTAAACATTGAATATTTTATAAACGTTTCATGAACAGTTCTCTTAGTGGGATGTTTTGCACAAAAAATATTTATTTTTTTTTAGAAATGAAAGTGTAAAGATATTCAGTTAATATATCAATTTCTTTGTCCCGCAAATTTTACCTATAAATGGCTGTATTTTTTTTTTTTTGTTTCATTCTTTTTTTTTTTTTTGGGGGGGGGGGGGGGGCTGTTTGTGTTAGTCTTCAATGTATCTAACTACTCTAATAATTGCCTATTTATATTGATAAATCATGTGCCAATATTTGTAGGGTGGCATAGGGTCATTTTTATAATTTCATTACTTAGTTGTTATTCTGGTGTCTCGTATTAGTCTCATCATAAAACATTTTATTTTAAGGCATTTTACTTAAACAAAATGTTTAATAACTATTCGAACAGTTCTCTATGTACTTATATTGTCTATGTGCATGTTTTTTTATAATTACAGTTCCATACACAGTTGTGGATATTGACTACCAAGAATATATGCTTGTGTATACTTGTATTCCTCATCAGAAGAGAACAGGAACAAATTTGGGTAAAAAAACCATATCCGAAATTTCTTTTTTTTCTTAAAAAATTACAGTTATTGTGTGAGTGTCTTCTTTAATAACGTAGACAAATCAGAAAGTCGAAAAACAATGTTCCCATGTTGCAACACATTTCTTTATTGGTTCATAATACCCATATGTGACTATATAAATTGCGACTTCCTTCAATTTTCCATCGAGGTATCTTCAAAGTTTTACAACATCATCAACATTTGTAATTGAATAAGACTTTGCTGTATTTCATAGGATGTGTGAAATTTAAAAGGAATGAAAAATAAATTGCAACGGACTTAAATGTATCGTAAATTTATTTTGTCAATGCAACAACTACTTTACCTGTTTACATATCACAAAATTCTTCATGAATTGACGAGCTTGTTATAGGTTGCATTTCTGTAAATATCCACAATGCAATTTTCCATAGGAACTCCTTTTACGGCTAAAACTGTACCACTTTTACTATGAAGTCTTGAAAAAAATTATATCCTAGAATGGAAAGTTTATATGCACTACTTTTTTGTTCAAAGGTCAAAATATAGGACTGTGCAGCATATTTTCAACGTGTATATGCCCCGAACTTCTAAGAGTTTAAACTCAAAATTCTGTACTACCCCTATCTTGACTATACGTTTTCCACAGATTTCAATTTGACCGCTATTCATATGTATATTTACTGGTAACATTCCCAAGTTATGTCTCTACGAAATGAAACATAGAGATCATATCTGGGAACAAGTACGTAAACAAAATTAATTATCTATGAATAGTATATATCTCCCTAAAAGAGGCGTGGTTTGTGAAACAGCTGTATTTACAAAGTACAACCTTTAACTTCTGGTCTAGACAAGTTAATGTTTGCCGTAAATGAAATTCAATAAAGAGACGACTTCTAATATTTTATTTATATTTCAGAGTTTGTTATCATTTATTCACGAAAACGAGAGAAACTAACAACCGAAATCAGGAATCGCCTGTCAAGACTACTTGACCAGTATGGTGTGAAGGCAAATAACTTCAGTTCTTTTGATCAAAGTAAAGAAACATGTGAAACAAAGACAGAAAAAGGAGAATTGTAATAGTTTAACGAAGTGAATAGATTATGACCAAATATGAGATTGAAAACTTGTAGTGTAATTATCTTCATCTTTATTCTTTTTCTGAAACAAATGAATTGTAACGATACTCAATTCAGGGACGACATTATATATTCAATGGTTAAAATGAAAGTTGAAGGCAGAACTGTAAAATTATAAAGTTAAACAAAACTTATCTTTTATCTTCTCTTATCCTATTTATGTAGATTGTAGTCCATAATTTTTATTGATAATGAAGTTTCTGTCAGATAATAAAATTTCTGCAGTTAATGATTCACTTTCAATTTCATAAATGGAAAGTTATTTTTAGCGCATACATTTTACCTATCAGAAAAACTTAAACTTAAACAAGTTTGTTTCAAATAATTGAAAAAATCTTGATGTAGAAAGATTTTGTTCAAACTGTGTTATCACAGTCCTGCAATTTGTAGTACATCATGTATTTCATTTATAACATATGACAGTAGGTAATTATGAGCACAACAATCATTCCATACACCAAATAAAGTTGACATAGCATCTGAGAAACAGACAAATCAAGAATAAACTGTTGACATCGATATGTTTCCCTTGCTGGCATATGATTAAACTACAGACTCTAAAGAGCCTGTGTTGCTAACCTGCATCTTCAACTATGTCTACTTTTTAATAAAACTCATCATTAAATGGGAACAACTCTATTGAGAGTAAACTGACAATTTCAGTCATGTTGACATATATGTGCATCTTGTCCTTTCCTTTCTAAAATTTCTATCTATTATAGGTATCAAGATAAATGGCAAAAACATGTTAAAAAATCTCATTAAAGGGCAATAACTCTAATTACGATTCGACTGAAGATTTCAACCATAGTCTTTACTTGTAGATCTTGCCTTGCTGATCATTTGTTCTATTCAAAGTTTCTATCTATCTATTATATTTTTTAAGATATTAGGCAAAAATGCAAATATTTGGTAAAAATTGTCATTGAACGGCAATAACTCTAATAAAGAGTTGTCTGACACCACTTTTGGTATATTGTTGCCTTATTTGTAGATCTTGTCTTGCTGATTATGTTTGCTCTTTAAAGTTTCTGTTTATCTATTATAATTTTCGAGATAAAAGGGAAAACATTTTAAAATGGTAAAATTCGTCATTTAAGGAGAATTACTCTTATAAGAAGTTGTCTGACAGTTTTGACGTAAACAGACAGAAGTTAGAGCTCAACATTTTGAACATGTTTGCTCCCGTCAGAATTCATAGCATTTTTCAAAACAATGGGCAAAACTTGCATTTTACCCCTATATTCTATTGTTAGCCATGTCAGCCATCATGGTTGTCATGCGGGGTCTTCGGGCACACCTTTTAAACTAGATACCCTAATGATTATTGTGGCAAAGTTTGGTTAAACTTGGCCAAGTGATTTCAGAGAAGATTTTTGTAAAAGTTAATGGAAGATGACAACGTCGCCGCCACCGCCGATGACAATTGTTGATGGGGCAAAATGATGAGGAAATGCCCGGAGAGCTAAAATAGGACTATCTGATGGACAGCAACATTGCTAACAAATTCAAATGTTGGAACATGACCTAGGGGGCAGGACCTCGAATAGTCGACAAACTGAGATGTGGTGATAGAAATGCAACTTTATACAAAATAAACATATCATTGATCTATCACAAATAAAAAACTGACTAAAGCAGAAAACTAAATATTGAAAATTGCTTACTAATTTAAAGTCGCTGGACCATGACCTAGGGGGCAGGGCCTCAAAATAGTCATCAAACTGATATGTACTGATAGTAATGCAACTTTATAGAAAATAATTATTGACCTATCACAAGTTGTTCCTATCAAACAACATTAAGCAGAAAACTTAACATTGAAAATTGATAATTAATTCAGTCGCTAAACCATGATCTAGGGGCCAGAGCCTGGAAACAGTCATCAAACTGATATGTACTGATAGTAATGCAAATTTATAGAAAATACAATTAATCAATCACAAGTAGTTCCTACCAAACCGACAATAAACATAACAATTGTTGATAACAACGAAGACGCACCCATCATTGCGGGAAAAGCAACATGTCTTACCTTCCAGGCAAGACACAATCCATAACACTGACCAATGGATCATGAAAATGAGGTCGATGTCGGATAAAACCTGCCAGATTTACATGTACAACTTTTAATCATTCAATATAACGAGCATGGTTGACTTACTACTTAAAGGTCTGATATATTGACTTGACAACGAAAACTTTTGACAGTCCTGTAGACCTTGCGAAGATCCCATATACCAAACATAGTTATCCTATTATTCTAAGTGAGAAATTCAAACGTCAGTAAAACTAAACAGTTGTTTATGCAATGCATGAGTCGTAACAATGAGGTTAAGGGCAATGGACATACGCCAGTTGGAAACTTGCAACATGATGCATCTGTAAACAAAGTATAAAACATCTATATCTTCTAACTTTCTGAAATATACAGAAGCTAATAATTTAAATATTAACAAATGATAACAAGAGGCTCTCAAGAACCTGAATTGCTCACCTGTAAATTTATACTAGATACTCGGAAACCCAATCAGCTCAAGTTTGGCTGAAATTGATTCAGCAGTTTCAAAGGAGAAGATTTTCTTAAAGTAAGCAAACTAAATGAACAAATTGTGAAAAATTGATTTTAAAGGGCAATAACTCCTTAAGGGGACAATTGACAATTTTGGTCATACGCACTTATTTGTAGATCTTCCTTTGCTGAACATTTTTGTGGTTTACAGTTTATCTTTATCATTAATAATATTCAAGATAATAACCAAAATCTGCAAAATTTCCTTAAAATTACCAATTAAGGGGCAGCAATCCAACAATGGGTTGTTAGATTCATCTGTAAATTTCAGGGCTGACAGAGCTTGGCCTTATAAAGATTTTTACATCTAATCAGATTAGCTCTAAATGCTTTGGTTTTTGAGATATAAGCCAAAAATTGCATTTTACCCCTACGTTCTATTTTTAGCCATGGCGGCCATGTTTTTTACAAAACAGAAAATAAAGCACAAACCTTTATTCTAGATACCCTTAGAATCATTCAGCTTAAGATTGGTTGGAATTGGCTCAGTAGTTTCGGAGGAGAAGATTTTTTAAAGTTAGAAAACATGATAAACAAATTGTGTAAAATTGTCCTTAAAGGGCAATAACTCCTTAAGGGGTTTATTGACAATTTAGGTCATTGAACTCTTTTATAGATCTTACCTTGTTGAACATTTTTGCTGTTCACAGTTTATCATTAATAATATTCAAGATAATAACATAAAACTGCAAAATTTCCTTAAAATTACCAATCTAGTGGCAGCAACCCAACAATTGGTTATCAGATTCAACTGAAAATTTCAGGGCTGATAGATCTTTATCTAATAAACACTTTAATCCCATGTCAGATTTGCTCTAAATGCTTTGGTTTTAGAGATATAAGCCAAAAACTGCATTTTACCCCTATGTTCTATTTTTAGCCATGGCGGCCATGTTATTTGACGAAACAGTAAATTAAACACAACTTTATTTTAGATACCCTTAGCATCATTCAGCTTATGTTTGGTTGGAATTGGTTCAGTAGTTTCAGAGGAGAAGATGTTTGAAATAGTTTACACCAGACGGACGACGACGGACGACGACGGACGCCAAGTGATGGCAAATGCTCACTGTTCCTTCGGAACGGTGAGCTAAAAATGACAACAAGGCTTTTTTTTTTTACAGATTTAGATATTCTTCATAAATTACAAATCTTGAAAGTCCACTTTATTTATCAATTTACTGACTTTTTCTTATTTGTAATTTCAAGTAATAAACATGATTTAAAATGATAAAAATGACAACAAGGTTTTTTTTTACAGATTTAGATATTCTTCATAAAATACAAAATTAAAGTAAAAATATAGAAAAAATTTTAAAAGAAACTTTTTCACATTTTTTGTGGAAATGTACAAATACCTTTAAACACCCATAAAATATTCAGTTTGTACACCCATGTGCTTTTTTGGTGAACAACACTCTGCATTCATGCATCTATTTGTTTTCGTATGTCTACTTTTAATAATACTATATGTGACACACACAAGTAAATACTACTAAATTTTTATATATTTGCATATACATGTAATCATGTAATCATATCAAAGAGGGACGAAACATACCAGAGGGACAGTCAAACTCATAGATCGAAAACAAACTGACATATATGTACCTCCTTAACAAAGAGGAGGTTGGTCTAGACATGTAAAATGATTATGATTGGACAGGTCTTATCTTGTCCGTTCGTCTGGTACAAGAGGAAAAAAGGTCGAACAAGTAAAAGCCATATCAAGCTTATTACTTATTACCAAAGTAATAAACAAAAAACAAGAAAAGAAGATATAAACAAATATTAATTTGACATGTTTACTTGGGATCGATAATTTAAAACTGCTTCTTTGTCAGATACTTTATAACAGATAAAACGCATACTACTCCAATCGGTATCAGCGGTGCACTTTGTATATAAGGTAACAAGATAGTTCGGCACCGGCACGGAAACGATTCGGCTCCATGTTAAATAGACAGTGGAGACATTTCGGTACCAAGACATACCAGTACCTCTTTTCCCTACGTTATTCTGTTGCTTTATAATAAATATATTATAAATTTTATCTAACAAAAATATTTTAGAAATAAAAATGAAGAATATTATTGACCATAGAATTCAAAAAATCATATTTGGTCATATTTAGACAAACAACATTTGATTGTGTTTGCATAAACATTTCAATATATTTAAAACAAAGCTGATTGTAGTAAAGCATTAATCATAATAATCAATATTTTATCAACATAAAAAGACCAGGATACGAACCAAATGAGTGAACACATGTAGACAGGCCTACCAGACTGTGCCTGGTGTGCAGAGTTTGATGAGAATTTGGTATTGATGAAAACTAGAACCTTACTAGACATGTTCTCGACTCATAATTTTTTAAAGGATATTAAGAGATATAAATCAAATGCTGTTCTATTGTTTTAATTCATTTTATTCATTGAATCAACCTTAAATGCAAAAAAGGTTAATATAAAGGTTTTTTTTTTTTTGACAAGTTACAATTCCATTCGAACAAGTAAGTTTTGGTACGTACTTTTCCTTTTGTGCAAGTTGAAAAAAAAGTTATTGTAGAGGCCTGTTGGACCTCAATGAATAGCAACAAAGAAGAAAGTTTTGATTTGTTTCATTTCACAAGTAATTCTGTGTTTTATATTAAC